CGTCTAGCCCACCTGCCAAGTAGCTCGTAAGCGGCAAGTCGTTGCGGTTCACGATGACCAGGGGCCTGGACACGGCACCATTCCCAAACTGGCGGCCCCGCTCTTCCCCGGTACTTCGCGCGCCGCTCTGGCTCGACAACGTCAGATCAATCCAGATTCTCGCACGCCAGCAGCGCCAACACCGCGCCCCATGCAACCGCCAACTGTTGGCTATCCCGGGCTTGAGAAGTGAGCTCGCGGTCGACTTCCTGCTCGCGCATCGGCGGGAACCTGGCGCACCCTGGCTTCGGGGCTGGGTCGACCGACATCGGCTGGAAAAGGGGCGCGGACCCACGTCTCCTGCTCTGCGAGGCGCATGCGCACAGCAACTGGCACGCGTGGAAAGGTCGGCGTGTTCCAGAACCTCACGAGGCCCTGCCCAATGCCAAGGTGGATGACCTACAAACATAATCCCACATCGATCCTGGCTTACACTGCAAACACGCAGGGCACGACGGATGCAACACCACTCCATGGATACCGTTGAAGAAAGGGCGCAGCAGGTAGATATCCATATTCCTATCACCAACAATCAGCCACGATCGGCCTAGCGCAACTAGCAACTGGATGTGCTCCGCAACCTGAGACAGGATCTGTATTGAGGCCCTCGCTGTCTCTGGGGCCCACGCTGATCATGGCAATCCTGCCCCTGGGCCCCCAGCGCACCTGCGCTGCCGACGCTCTGCCTGGGGCAATTTCCAACGGGCAGCCGGGGGCTCTGGTGGCCGTGACTCTGGCAGGTGCCAATATCGCCAGCCCACCCAAAGTTCCACCCTTGCGGGTAGCTAGCGCTGGGGCCCCGACAACTCCAAAGCCTGCGCGAACGGCCTGGCGCTGGCGTCGGCGAGTTGAGGGGCCTCGGCATGATGCCCCTGAACCAATGAGAGACTGCGAGCCGCCCAGGGGGCCTTGAGCATCCCTATCAGTGGCCCGTGCGAACTGATATCGGCGGTGACGAACTGCACGATGCCTGTCATCTTGGCCCCAGTACTCGGCTTGTCAGATGCACCTGCCACAGGTGGCGCGAGGCCGGAGCTGCTGTCGTTCGTGGCCACGTCACTGCACGCGCACGGGCCCAGGGTGATCCACCAGAGCAAGCACGGCGCATGTCTAGAGCCTGCGCGCCCATGCCCCTCACTCCTCACCTCGAGAGCGCGGTCGACGGGTCCCTGGCGCCCCGGAGGGGCCCTTCAGCAACGCCTCGACGGGCCCGGAGGGTCCGACCGCGTCGGCAGCGACCTCCGAAAAGCTCCCGGCAGGCAGCCGCCCCTGGGCACCCCGAGGCCCCTCACGATACGCGTTCTGACAAGGAACACGGCGACTTGGATCGGAGTGCGGTCTGGATCTGACGTTAGATCCATCAGGCCGCCCATGTAGAAATTGCCCCGGACGTTGAAGCCCGCGCGGACGTTGCGGTAGAGGCGGCTCGCCGCGCAGTTGGCGTCAGCGGTCGGCGGGGCCTCCGCTGGCAGAAAACCTGAGCAGGTAGACCATGCCCAGCATGACATCAAAAAGCGATGCAAAGTGAGGTCCCCATCAGATGTGATTGCAATGCCAGCAGTAGCACCCGCATCGCCCATGTCCACTGCGGCACGGCGAGGGCGCCCGTCGGGCCCACGCCCCCTACCGCAGGCCACAGGGCGAGCCCCGGCACATTGAGGCTTGGCCACCCGTGGTCAAGGGGGGGGGCACGCCGACAAACCCTCGGGCGCAACATGCAGATGCCCCAGGAACCATCAACTCCCAATTGGCCATCATCCTGTAGTGAAAGCCCTGGTCATGCTGAAGCTGCTCCAGCGGCTGCTGCCTGTTCACGTGCTGTCTTTCGCCGCCGACTGGCAGAATTATCCGCGGCGGTGGTCCAGCGCTTGAAGGCCGCCCTGATCTGCCCCTCCTCCATTGGTGGCTCGGAGTGCAAGAACTCGCCGTAGAAGGCCCCCGTTGGCAAGGCCGTCGCTTCTGCTGCCATGCGCTCCTCTCGCGAAGACACGCGCTGCTGCGGCGGTGGCTGCTGGGTGCCGGCGCTTGCAAAGCGACCCCCCCCCCACCTTCGAATTCCCGGGCTCGCGCAGGGCCTCGAAAGATTTCGCAGCGCCAGCCTGGAGCGCGCCATCGGCCCCAGCTGATGCCAACGATTCCGCCAAAGATTCCCCCAGCTTTTAGACGGGTAGGTCGAGCGCGGGAGCCAGGGGCTCGAGCGTGAAATCCCCCTGCTCTGGACGAGGCGCCCTCGCAGCAACTGCGCGTCGCTGAACTTCGAGCTCAGCCTTCTAAATGGCCAGCTCTTGCGCCGCCCGCTCAGCCTCCTGCAACTTCTGGGTGACCTCAGCCTGCTGCTGCTTGAGGCCATTGCTGACCTGGTCCTGCTTGTCCATCTGGCCCTTGAGTGCATCCTGGTCGCCCAGAGCTGCACCGGGGCGGCGCGCGGCTTGCTGGAGACCAGATTACCCTTGATCCCGTCGCGCTCCTCGACGGGGTCGGCCTCGGCCTTGGCGAGGGCCCCGTCCGTGGGCGCGAACCGAGCTGGCGGAGCGACGCGGCGATCTCGGCCAGGCGCTTCTGGTCGGGGTCATCACCTTCGGCCTCAGGTCGCAGCGCCTGCTCTCCACGGGACTGGGCCTCCTTGGACTCCTGCAGGGCCTCGGAGAGACGTGCGATCTCAAGGTCCTTGTCGCGAAGAGACTGCTGCTGACCCTTTGCCAGCACTCTTGGGCAGGGCGCGGGTGCTTGGGACCTTCGGGACCTCGAGCCCACCGATCGGTGCGCCCTTCGCCGCGTGCTCGTGTCACCCCCGTTCCACCAGCGCTTCCCCGATTTGGGGTGCAAGCACCATCGGCAACACCAACTACCTGCCCATGCTTTGCGCGAGTTGGCAGCAGGAGAACCATTTGCCATGACACAGCGTAAAGATAAGGAGAAAACGCGCGGAACTTACGGTGGCGAACTGGAATGCGAATGCGAGAAAGAACGTGCTCTACCGCTGCTGGCGGAAAACCCGGGGGGGCACTGGGGTCTCCCAGCCCCCCCCCCCCCTCGAAAACCGGGGAGGGTCGCTACCGGTTCGAGCCCCTCCCCCACCCCCCCACCCCCACAGTCCATCATGAAAGGGCCACTGCCGGTTCGAAGTTCGAAAAAGCCCCCTCCCCCGATTTTCGAAAACCGGGGGGGGCCACTGCCGTTTCGCATCCCCTCCCCCCCCCCATCGCCGCCGGCAAACGATTCCCACTCCTCGGGACAATTGGACAATGGTGGGGATGCTGGGGCAGTGGTGCGAACGTTGGTGGCGGGGACAGTGGCCCGGAGACAGTGGGACAGTGGTGCGGACAGTGGTGGGAGCGGCGGTGGCGGGGACAGTGGCGAGGGGACAGCGGGACAGTGGGGGGACAGCGGGACAGTGGGGACGGTAGTGGTGTGGACAGTGGTGAAGGCGGTGGTGAGGACAGTGTTGGGACAGTACTACAATGGGAAAGTGGTGGGGACAGTGGGGACAGTGATGGGGACAGTGGGGACGGTGGGACAGCACAGTGGGACAGCGGCGGGGACAAGGGACAGTGGGTGCAGCGGGGACAGTGGGACAATGGTGGGGACAGTGGGGGAGCGGGACCGTGGTGGGACAACAATGGTGGCGAGAGCAGGGACAGTGAGACAACACTGGCGGGGGCACTGGCGGGGACAGCAGGGACAATGGTGGGAATGGTGGGACAGTGGGACAGCGGTGGGGACGGTGGGGTGGGGACAGTGGTGTGGGGACACTGGGAATGTGGTGGAAACGGTGGGGCAGTTGGAGGGTACAGTGGTGGTGGGGACAGTGGTGAGGGCGGTGGCGAGGACGGCGGTGGGACAATGGGACAGAGGTACAGTGGGGACAGTGGTGGGGACAGTGGGACAGTGGTGGGAACACTGGGACAGCTCAGTGGGACAGCTCAGTGGGACAGCGGCGGGGGCAGTGGGATGGTGGGGACAGTGGGACAGTGGTTGGGGCCGTGGAGAAACTGGGGGGAGTGGAACCCTGGTGGGAACAGTGGTGGGGACAGTGGGGACAGTGCGACAGTGGTGGGGGCACTGGTGGGGACAGTGGGGACGGTGGCGGGAACACTGGGGACAGTGGTGGTGAGGACAGTGGCGCTGGGAACAGCAATGGGGGATGTGGTGCGGACGGTGGTAGGGACCCGGGAGTCGTTTGCTGGCGGTGAGCGTGGGGGAGGGGGGTTCGAACCGGCAGTGACCCCCCCCCCCCGGTTTTCTGGGGGGAGGGGGGGGTCGAACCGGTAGTGACCCCCCCCGGTTTTCCGGAGGGGGGGGGGTTCGAACAGGTAGTGACCCCCCCGGTTTTCTGGAGGAGGGGCAGGGGGTTCGAATCGGTAGTGACCCCCTCTGGTTTTCTGGAGGAGGGGGGGTTCGAACTGGTAGTGACCCCCCGAGTTTTTTGGAGGGACGGGGGGGTTCGAACCAGTAGTGGCCCCCCTCTGGTTTTCTGGGGGGGGTTCTAACCGGTAATGACCCCCCCCGGTTTTATGGAGGAGGGGGGGGGGGGGTTCGAACCGGTAGTGACCCCCCCCGGTTTTCCGGAGGGGGGGGTTAGGGAGGGGGGGTTTTGCCGAGGGGAGGGGGGGCGTCCAGCAGGGGGGGGGGGGGATTTTCGGAGGGGGGGGGGGAACCCCGGGTTTGGGAGGAAGAGGGGGGAATTTTCCATAGTAAAGCGGCGGTGGATCACGCTCTCTCGAATGTGAGCGTAAGCTGTGCCACCAGCCAGGGCAGGCGAACTGGGCGGCACGGTAGCGGTGAAGGCCGCGGATCCCTCCTGCGAATGTCAAGTCCTGAGCGAAACGCTACGGACTTGAGCCAAAATTGCTACGGAGTGGGAGAGGAGGAGACAGGGGAGAGAGGGGAGAGAGGGGACTGGGGAGAGTGGAGAGAAAAGAGAAGAGGGGGAAGCTCGGGGAGGGGGAGAGGCCCAGTGCCTCTCTATGATCTTGCCCCTGACCTGCATGAGGTACGACTTCTCCAGCGTCTTGAAGCCGAAGTAGTCATAGCCTCCCATGGGGTGACTGACTCAAAGAGTTTGATGTCCTTCCCCTCGTGATCCTCCCGTCCTCAGAGGCCTCCTCCTCCTCGGCCTCCGCTTGCCCCAGCCAGTCCCCCCTCCTTTTCCTCCCCCTTCACCTCCACCCCTTCCTGTTCCTCCTGCTATTCCCCCTCCTCCTCCGTTTCCTCGTCATCCTGTTCCCCTCTCTCTCTCTCTCTCTCTCTCTCTCCCCCTCTCACCCTGCGCTCGCGCTGCTGCCTCGGCTGCAGATTCGGCCCGCCGCCGCCCTCCCCATCCGTGCGACGCTGCGGTGGCCGAACCGCCGCCTCCGGGGAAGGCCCGCAGCGACACCTCCGTCGCTCACGCCGCGCGCCCGCCGACTCGCGAAACCTCGGGCCGACCTGCGCTCCGCCCTGCGCGACGGCCACCCCGGTGGCGCTCGCCGACGTCCCCCCACGCCGGCTTCACGCGAGAGGCGCCCCCCCCCCCGGGCAGGAGCGGCCTCTGGTGTTATGTCGGGCGTGTCCCCCATACAGGGGGATCTTCGACGAAAAAATAGTTGTAAAAATACACCAAAAATACTCCAAAAATAACTTATCCAAAAATAGACAGGGGACTATTTGTTGATGTGTTTTGACCTTCTTGGGGTATTTTTGGGGGTATGTTTTATTTCCCGTCGAAAATCCCCCCTGTAGGGGGACAGGCCCGACCTAACTCCAGTGCCTGGCCTTCGCGGGGGCGGGGGGGGGGGGGAGGCAAAACGCGGAGCGCGCACGCCTCTCGGCGCGCTGCCGCAGCCCTCTCGGGGCCACCTGCGTGCCGTCGCTCGGCCGCCCCCCGCTCCCCGTGCCCCTGTCGGTGTCGCTGCGCTTGTCTGTTTTTTTTTTGCTTGCTGCTCGACGATGCGGGCTGCTCCCCGGCGGCCCTCGCCCCTCGATGGTCCTCACCGAGAGGGAGAGACACACGCCCGAGCGGTGCCGAGCCGGGGGGCCTCGCCCCTCCATGGTCCTCGCCGAGAAGGAAATATACACACGCCCGAGCGGTGTCCTCCTCCTCCTCCTCCTCCTCCTCCTCCTCCTCCTCCTCCTCCTCCTCCTTCTCGGGGAACCCACAGGAGGACGTGCGCGCCCAGCCGCGTGCCAGGATGCGGCCCCCCCAGTCCGCGGGGCCAGCCTCTCGTGTTGCGAGCGGTCGCGCGGAACCTTGTTTCCAGACACGCGTGGGCTCGTGTACGTCTGCGCCCTTCGTTCGCTCCCGACGCGGTCGCCCTTGGCGGCGAGCACAAGGGGGTATGGGGGAGCTTCTCAGAAGCCGTCCCCCCTCCCCCTATCCTCCGTCTGGCCAACGCCTTATCCTCCTTCTTTTCCTCCTCCTCCTCCTCCTGCTCTTCCTCTTGCCTCCTCCTCATCCTCCTCCTCCTCCTCGCCCCCTCCTCCTCCTCATCCTCCTGAACATTTGAACAACATGAATACTACTCGCCTTATCCCCTGACTCTGCCCGGAGACTGTCCCGTATTCTTTTACATGCAATTATTTGGCTTGTCCTGTGTTTCTTCCGTCCGGTCGTTGTTGCTTGTTTTCCAAAATGGTTTTCCCCCTGCAGCGCCGCCCTCATTTCCGCGCTTGGGTCGTTCAAACGTGCCCCCGCTGCAGCGCTACCCGCGCCGTCGCACGGCACTTGGCATGCGAAAGCGGCCACATCGGGCAGGCACGGTTGCGGAGGACATGGAGCATATCGTAGACGGGCCACTTACCCTCCAAATCATCCGGCGCCATGCCACAGCATGCAAAGCGACGCTGTGTTGTGCACCTCTTTGCGATGCCATGCTTTGCGTTGCTATGATTGGTGATGCAATGCTTCACTACGCAATGCCACGCCATGCTATGACATGCCATGCTCTGGCGTGCTCTTCTACGCCATGATTTTCCATCCATCGCGTACACTCGTGGGATCATTGCCCTGCTCGACATCCGCCTGCGCGAATATATAGGGGATCTACACCTCGGTAAAGGATGGGAGGGAGGGGTAGGACGTCAAAAATGACGCTAGCGCACCTAACTTGCCCCTCCCCCCCTCCCCCCTCCCCCCCTCCCCCCTCCACAATTAACAGAACAGAACAGAACAGAGGCCCGTCACCTGGCTGCGAGAGCCGCCGGTCCTTTGGGGGCGCGGGGCGCCCGGGCGGGCCTGAGCGAAAGCACCTAAAGCAACATTACAGCAATGTATATGGTGGTGAACGCGCCGCTTGGCCTATTCTCGCATATTCCAGGCGTGCTCCCACCAATACTCTGGACGACAGAAAAAAAGCACCATTGCAGCAATGTATATGATGATGAATGCGCCGCTTCGCCTATATTCCCTCTACAATTACACAATCTGAATACTGCTCTCCTCTCTCCCGTGGCGACGTCCCCGAAATATTCGGCCCCCCTCCGCGTATACCGGTCTTTTACACACAGGATTCCCGGGAGTTGGGTGTTCGCTTGGTTGTGATTCATCTATTTCGAAAAAATGCTGCTCTCGCTGAAGCGCTGGCCTCATTTTCGGGCTACCACTCGTTCCGAATCGTGCTCCAACTGCAGCGCTGGCCTCATTTCCTTGCTTCCGCTCGTTCCGAATCGTGCTCCCGCTGGAGCGCTGGCGTCATTATTTCCAGCGCCATGCCATGGCTTGGTCTTCGGCCCTTCCAAATAGGCCCCAAATCTAGAAAATGCCCCCCCCCGAACAAAAACATCGGAAGTGAGTGCATATTCGGTATCGATTCGTTGATTTTTTGGGCCGCAGAAGCCTTATGCCATGGGCCCCGGGAGGCCCAAGGGAGGCCCTGGGGGGGCCCATGGAGTCTCCGGGGCACCCCGGGGGCTCCCGGGAGGGCGCCGGCGAAGGCGTTCCAGGTTGAACTCCGCATTGTAGCACGCTGAAGGGCACGGTGACGCCACGACTTGAACGAGCGGTGCCGCGATCGATTCAAGGTTGAACGATCGACGCGGCGACAAAAAACTTTGTGCGCGCCGACGCCGCACGAAGCTCTACCCTTCCCTTGTTTTCTCTTTCTCAGGCCTCCTGGGAGCCCCCCAGGGTCCCCCCAAGGCCCCCAGGGCCTCCCAGGGCCCCCCAGGCCTCCCCACAGCCGCCCAGGAATCCTCCAAAAATCTTCCCGAGGAAGGTTTTCGGCAGATGTTGAAGGTATCTTTCAAGACCCTTTCAAAAACCTTCCCGAGGAAGGCTTCTGGGCGACCTTTGGAAGAATCTGTCAGAAACTTTCCCGAAGAGTGTTTTTGGAAGATGTTTGAAAGAATCTTCCAATGACCGCCTTGAGGGGTTTTTGGACGATTTTTGAAACAATCTTCCCCCCCAAAAGAAACCTTCCCGAGGAAGGTTGTTGGAAGATTCGTGGGGAAATCTTCCAAAACCTTCCTGGGGAATGTTTCTCGCAGATTTTTGGGGAAATCGCCCCGAAACCTTCCTGAGGAAGGTTATTCGAAGATTCTTGGAGGAACCTTCCGAAAACGTTCCCGCGGAAGGTTGTTGGAAGATGTTTGGAATAATCTTCCAACATCGTTCCTGAGGAAGGTTGTTCGATGATTGTTGGAGTAATATTCCAACAACCTTTCTGAACAAAGAAAATGTTGCAAGATCTATGGCGGAATCTTCCAGACACCTTCCTGAGGAAGGTTTTTGGAAGATGCTGGGACAAGTCTGTCAAAAAAAACTTCCCGTGGAAGGTTTTGGGAAGATTGGAGACATATTCCAAAAACCGTCCCCAGATAGGTGATTGCACGATTTTGCGAAGAATCTAATGATTGCTGGAGGAATCTTCCAAAAACCTTCCAAAAACCTTCCTGAAGAAGGTTTTTTGAACATTTCCAGAGGAGTTGGCCGAACTGCCGCACCCGACTGCTCGTCCGAGCCGCGTCCTAGCCCCTGGCGCGCGGAGCGCGCCGGGGCGTCGGGGCCCCGGCGCGGAACCAAGAAATCCGCGCGGAACTGCGAACGTTTCTGTCTACGCCGGCAGATCGTCTTTCTCTCCGTCACATTGCTGCAGCAGGGGCCCGACCACAAGAAACCTCCAACACCCCTGAGACCCCGGGACGTCCACATTTTTGTTTGGTGTGGGAACGTCACGATTTCCATTGCAAGATCATCGAACAGGGCCAAGAAACCCAGGGCACCCTGGAGGCAGGCAGGGTGTTTCTTGGCATGGGCCTTCACTGTAATATCATCACTCTTCGATCCCGTCCCTTCGCTGGGCACACCATGGTGTTCCCTACGCGCGGTGCCTCTCGAACGGCTGCCGTGCACGGCTTCTCGTGCTGACCCCTAGGGGCGTATACCGCTGCTGCCAGCGGGTTGCATGTGTGACTCAGCTAAAGATTGGACGCTGCGTGAGGGCCCACTCTGATGCTGAAACTTCCGCGTGAAATGCCGTCAGATCGTCTTCCACCCCGTCCGCACCCCTCCTCCTCCCCTCCTCCTCCCCCCTCCCTCCTCCTCCTCCTCTCCTCCTCCTCCTCCTCCTCCTCCTCCTCCTCCTCCTCCTCCTCCCCCTCCTCCCCTGCTAACTCCCCCCCTCCTCCCCCTCCCCCTCCTCCTCCTCCTCCTCCCTCCTCCCTCCTCCTCCTCCTCCTCCTCCTCCTCCTCCTCCTCCTCCTCCTCCTCCTCCCCCTCCTCGACCCCGCCCTCCTCCTCCTCCCTCGCCGGAGCCTCGGGCCGTGGCCGCGCCCGCGAGCTGCGAGTGGACTGCTCGATCTCGAGCTGCGCCCGAGGCCACGCCTTTGCTGCCCTGCTCGGCGGAGCCTGCGCTCTTCGACCCCGCTCCTCGTCGCTGCTCGAGCTGCCGTCGGGGGGGGGATGGGAGAGGACACTACTCGATCGAGCTGCGCTCGAGGCCACGCCCCCTGCCCTGCTCGGTGGAGCTGCGCCCTTCGATCCCGCTCCTCGTCGCTGCTCGAGCTGCAGCCGGGGGGGGATGGGAGAGGACACGCGAGGGGACACGAGGCTCTGCCGATGGCCACACTGCCAGTGGAGCGCAGAGGGCATGGGTCACGAAGCACAGGGCGCAGGGGTGCCCTTGTGTGGGCAGGGTCGACCTACCGATCAAACTCGACTGTGAGTTCTTCGATTACGGCAGCTTCGTGTCGTGACGACCCCAGCGTTGGTTCCTGACGCCGCGTGGATCGTGAAACCTCGAACGATCGGCGGCTTTTCGATCGCCCGATCGTTCCATGCAGGCCGATTCTGGGCCACTGGCGGCGTTTAACCTTGAATGTCCGCGGCGGGGTCGCCGCCGGTCGACACGACGCGAACCTACCGTACCATGCACGGTTTCCCCCAGGGCCGTAGGCGACCCGAGGAGCAGGACGACGAGGAGGAGGAGGAGGAGGAGGAGGAGGAGGGGGAGGAGATGGAGGAGGAGGAGGAGGAGAAGGAGGAGGAGGACGGGTCGCCTAAGCCCTTCGGAGAAACCCTCCACCGTACCCGTCTTCGTCACTGTCACGCTCCTCCTTCCCTGCCCTCGCGGGGGCCGCGGGCCGTGGTCGCGCTTGTAGTCGATCGCGGCGTCCAGGCGCTCCGCGTTCGCGGAGACGAAGGCCCACACGTCGTCCGCGAGCAGAGGCGACGGCCTCTCCCCGGCGCGGTCCGGCGAGGGCGCGCGCGCCAGGCGGCCTTCTCGGGGGAGCGGGCCCAGGGACGAACGGACGGCCCCCGACCGCCGGAGGAGCAGCACGCGCTCGAGCCTGCAGGGGGGAGGGAGGGGGGCGAACAAAGGGGGGGCGAACGAAGCCGCACCGCTGAGGAAGGAACAGCACACGCTCGAGTCTGTAGGGAGGGGGAAGGGGGGCGAATGGAGGAGGGGATGGAACGGAGGGGGGGGCGAAGGATCCCCCACCGCCTGAGAAAGTGAGCAGCACTTGCTCGAGCCTGCAAGGAGGAGGCATGGGGAGGGGCCAGGCGACGCAGGCGCTGCACGCGGGGGTGCGAGCTGTCGCGCGCCCCGCGGGCGGCGAGCCCAGGGACGGATGGACCCCCCCCCACACCGCTTGAGGAAGCGAGCAGCACACGCTCGAATCTGCAGGGAGGAGGGATGTGCACTTGAGTCGGAGGCGAGCGAGGGGGGGGAAGTGAGCAGCGCACGCTTGAACCTGTAGGGGGGGATGGATGGGGAAGGGGTGCACTTGAGTCGGTGGTGAGGAAATGGGGGGGGAGAGCGAGAAGGGAAGGGCCTTCGCAGAAGGCGGCGGGGCTTCTCGGCAGCCTTCGCGCCTTCTGCAAGGTTTTCTGCGTCTTCGGGCAAGGCTTAGAAAACTTCTCCGACGGCCAGAGGACTTCCGAGCCTTCTGAGGAGGCCCGCCCCTTCTTACTTCCCCCCCGCGCTCGCCGCCGAATGAGTGAAGCTGAGGCGACGTCATCTTTAGACGCTGAGTCGTTGGCCCCAATATGCTGCATTGAATTCCTGTCTAACACAATCATTATACAACGTGACGCCTGACCGTGCGCCATCAACCGTCAACTGACTTTCCCAGGCTGGCCGCGCACGGCCGTGGGCTGAATCCAGAAACCAGAATGGGGAATGGCAAGGCGACGAAGGCGCTATACGCATGGGTGCGAGTTGTCAGACCCCAAGGGGGGCTCCACGTCGAGCAAGGACCCCCCCATCCGACAACACACACCCAGAGCCCCCATGCCATTTCCCCTCCGAGAAACCCGGGGGTTGCATAGGAATTTGGGCCAGCTGTCAGCCCATGAGCCACTGCGGACAAGCGCTCGGGACCAGCTGAGACCAGGTTCAGGTCGGGCGTGTCCCCCTTCAGGCAATTGTGGACGAACAACTAACAAAAGACCCCAAGAGACTAGCAACAATGATCAAACAATAATAAAACAAATCGTCCCCGTACAATGTTTTAGTCTTTGTTTTCGCGATTCCCCCTGCAGAGGGACACGCCCGACTTCAGACCAGGTGGAGGAGGCCGTGTCCTCTGGACTGCGCAGCCTGCTTTGCGGCGAGGCCGGGGCGGGGAAGGCAACGGGCACGGGGCCAGGCATCCGCACGAGGGAGACGACGGGGGGGATGCTGGAGGAAAGGGGGTCCTGGAAGGGGCTCCCCGCTTCCGGAAGAGAGGACGTCCTGGAAGGGAGGACGTCCTGGAAGAGAGGGCGTCCTGGAGGAGAGGACGTCCTGGAAGAGAGGACGGCCTGGGGGGGGGCCCTGGGAGGCAGGGAGTCCCGGAGGGGGCTTGCCCCCCTTCTGGGCCGCGGGAGCCCCCGGCGGGAGCGTCGGGACACGGCCCTGGGGCGAGGGGCGGGCCCCGGGGAGAGCCCCGCGGCCCCAGGCACCCCTTTCCCGACGGGCCCCTCAAAGGGGGCCAGGGGCTTGTTTGATCCGCGGGTCGAGAGCGCACCTCTTCCTGTCGAAGCTGAGCGGGCCGCGCACAGCTTCAATCAACAGAGGGAGGAAAACAGAGGGAGGGGCCTCACGTCAAGAGGCCAGGAGAGGGCAATGCCCCGGGGCCAGGCGGTGCAGAAGGCGAAGCGCATGCAAACGGGACACACAACACAATTGAATGCACACAGATCCCAGGATCCCCCATCTGTTCCCATGTGCTCCGGGTTTTCGTCTTCCCCCCCCCCCTTCTTCCCGTATTCTCCTAGATCTTCCTGGCAGGCGACCATTCCTCGTGTCTCTGTGCTTTCTCCCCTCCTGACCCCTTCCCAACCCCCCTTTCCCCCCCTTTCCCATATCCTCCTGCAATTTCCTGGTACGCCACGATTCTCGGGTCAGGCGAAAGGGGGGCATAGCAAAGGGGGGGGTCTGAGAATCAGCTCACGTAGCGGATTTTTCCAGCGCCTCCCGGCGCCGGAGGCGGAGCCCCTCGGTTTCGAGGAATGGGCCCCTCGGTGAGGCCCCTCGGTGAGGCCCTCGAGGCGTAGCTGATTGTACCGAGGAATGGGCCCCTCGGTGAGGCCGACACCAGCTACATGCAGCAAATTTCGTAACCCCCCCTTCCCCAATCCCCCCCTTTCGCCCGGCCCGAGATTCATCGCGTCTCCGTGCTTCTTCCCCTCCTGACCCCCTCCCGGGCGTTCGCGCGGAAGCGCCCCGCAGGGCCCGGGCCGCCCGCGCGGGGCCCGATGCACGCAGGCGGGGCCGGAGGACCGGCCGCACGGCAGACGCGTCGGCGAGGGCGGCGCGATGCGGAACCAATGGGTGCCAGAGATCCAACGCACTGAAAAAATCAAGACGGAGGATTTTCGCAAATTTCGGCCCCTAGGGGCCCTCGCCGGGCCTCGGGACCGTGAAAAAACGGCTCAGGATGAAAAACCGGTCCTGGGGAATGGGTCGAGACGTCCAGGGACCGCGTATTGAACAAATCACGACATCGGATCTCTGGGCTGGCACCGCCGCCACCACCGCGTTCCTGCCTTCCGGCCTGCATCCCTCGCCCACCTTTCCCTCCAGCCGCCACCTCCTCCATCCACACCGTCCCCTCCAACATCCCCCCCCGCGAGGCCCTGGAGACGCTCCACTTCCACGTCCACAGCACGGCGGACAGATCCCGATCTTCTCCCTTCCGACGCTCTCGACGCATCGTCGATGCGGGGCGACCGTCCGACCTGAGGCAGAGCATTCGGGCGTGTAAGCTGGGCGGCTCGATTCGGAACCCGATCTTCTCCCTTCAGGCGCCGCCGATGCATCGGCGATCCTCCGACCGCGTCCACTCCCGAGGCAGAGGATTCGGGCGTGGAAACTGGCGAAGTCCTTCGTTCTGCCAAGTCGCCGCAGGATGTGTGAATACCCAGGCGCCTCGGGGCAAAGTGGACCAGGAGGAGCCGTGCCAGACGATTCCAGGCCCAACGCCAGAACGAAGCCGCACTGCACAAATTAGCAGGTCGGCCGCAAGTGGGGGAGGCCATGCAGGGAGGGCTGGCCGAGCAGCTCGGGCAGCCGGTGTGCCCAGCGCCCCGCGGCGCCCGAGGAGAGCGCCCGGCAGCGGGGCCGAAGCCAGGCGCACGCAGCCCATTCCGCAGCTAATTACCCCTCCCTATCCCAATCCACCCCTCTCGCCCGACCCTGAGACGAAACAAGGACGAGGATAACATCGGGTGGAGATGGATCGAGAATCTCTGAGATCTGGCGGCCCTCGAGGTTGTATCTGGCCCCCGCGGCCTTCTCAAAGCGATCCGGAACACTCTGAGAGCGTTCCGGAACGCTCTGGAACGGATTTATGCTCGTCCTAGCCCCGTCCGAACCTACTACCCATCTCGTCCGACCCACGCCCGCTAGATGCGTCCTCCAGCCCCACCAGGACGGCCTTCCTGCTCAAGACGACTGGAAGACCCTCTACTATGGACAATGAGTCCAGAGGAGCGCCCCAGCAGAAAAGCCGATACCACATTACGGTTTCTTGGCAATGGAGACTGTAGTGTCACAAGTTACGCCCTTCCCTCCACCGGGGAAAGGACATGTCCGAGGAAGATAGCTACTACATGTCATGGCCGTAACGGGCCCGCGGGAGAGCGTGCCACATGCGACGGCCATCTTCAACCGAGGGTCTCCGAAGGAGTGGAGATCAGACGCGATTATTGTGTCGTCCGCGATGTGTCTGCCCATGTCGCTAAGAACATGTTCATAATCCCACCAACCCTTTGGGCGCCGGTGGTCTGACGATGACTCTTTTTCCTCTTCCAAAGCACCTCTTCCCCTTCGGGGAGGGGTTTATCACTGTTCCCTATTAATAAACACCCCCTCCCCCAGGCGACCGGGGGCCAACCCAGGCCCATGACGACCCCCCCAACCATCCCTTGCAAAAAACAATACACAACACACTCTGCCTCCAAATTCGGAACATGCGCAGCCAACCCGATGCGGCCCCCCCCCCGCCATCCCTTTCAAAAAACAATACAGAATACACTTGGCGGCGGCGGCGGCTGCGGCGGTTGCGGCGGCGGTGGCGGCGGCTGCGGCGACTGCGGCGGCGGCGGCGGCGGCGGCGGGGGCGGCGGCGGCGGCGGCGGCGGTGGCGGTGGCGGCAGCGGCTGCGGCGGCGGTTTGGCGGCGGCGGCGCGGCGGCGCGGCGGCGGCGGCGGCGGCAGGCGGCGGCGGCGGCGGCGCGGCGGCGGCGGCGGCGGCGGCGGCGGCGGACAGCGGCGGCGGCGGCGGCGGCGGCGGCGCCGGCGGACTGGCCCCCAGTAGCTGCTCATCCAAAAACGACTGCTGAATCTGCTGAAGCTCGGGCCAGACTCGGGTGCTACGTATGTGTTGGGGGGGCGGGTGGGGGTGAGCGAGACGGCTTGCGGGCGGGGAGGGGGTCTTGACCCCTCCCCCTACCCCCTCCTTTGGACCTGGACGGGAGGGGCCGCGATCGGTTGGAGCGTCCAAGATGGCCTCAAGATGGCTCCAAGAGGGCCTAGAGCCCAAGATGGCCTCCAAGATCATCAAAATAACCCAACATGGCTCAAGATAGCTAACACCATGCCTCCAAGAGAGCCCCAAGAGAGCCCCAAGAGAGCTTCAAGACGGTCCCAAAAGGGCTCCAAGAGGGCCCAAAGACACTCCAAAAGAGCATGGCTCCAAGATGCGATGTTGAGGGTTCCTGAAGGAGGGGTGGGGGTGGCGACATCGAGAACCCCTCCTCATTTGATCGACGCTCTCCAAAATATCCCCAAGATGCCCTCAAGGGACCCCGAAAAGCTCCAAAGAGTGTTCAAAATCGTCCTCGTCCTCGTCCTCGTCCTCATCCGTGTCCTCCTCGTCCTTGCCGTCGTCGTCGTCGTCCTCCTCCTCCTCCTCCTCCTCCTCCTCCTCCTCCTCCTCCTCCTCCTCCTCCTCCTCCTCTTCCCCTCGCCCCCACGCGGCACCCAGGGATGGCCCGAAGAGGCCTTCCAAGGCCGCCCCGTTGCTCGCTTTGTTTCCCTAGATGTGTCTCTTCGCCCTGTTCCCCGTCAGCACTGAAGGGCAAGGTTTCTGAATGCGCTGGTGGGGATACTTGTCGTCGCAACCGCAGGCGAAGGCGCCGGCGGCGTCACAGGTCGGCTCGGGCTACGAGCAGAACTAATTGCGCAGCGCGCGCGCAGCGACGGCGAACCCTACCGCCGGGGGAAGCTGAACTGCGCCGAAGGCAGAGGCTGCAAGAGCTGCCGCGGGCAGCCAGGAGGCGGTGTAGGCGCGCGGGCACCCCAGGGACGAGACCACCGAGATGAGTGAAACTGTTGGGGACATTTTTTAAGTCGCAGCTGCAGGCCGACCAGCCGACAGCGTCAGTAGAGTAGCACGGGCCGCGAGCACCCTAATTGCCGGCGCGCGCGCCGAGCAAGCAGACTAAACCTACCGCCGAGGGAAGCTGCGCCGGGGCAGAGCTGCGCCCAGGGGTGGAAGCTGCCAGCTGCGGAGGCGGCTGGGAAGTTGCAACGTGCGAGTACGATTGTGCCATGGGAGTACGAATTAATCCTTGTCGCTACTGGGCGCCAGAGGACAGGGAGGCAGACCGCCAGGTGACACGCCGGCTGGACAAGAAGGCTGAACCACTCCTGCAAGACACGGTGGCCAGTACCCCAGGGGCCAGCTGACGACCAGAGCCAGGGGAGTGCAGGCACTGCTGGAACTGGCCAGAACTCGCGAGACCTGACCGCCAAGGCACACTCGGAACCACAGAACAGAGAGAGTATGCGGCCAGGTAACGGGCGCCACCACCGCGGCTGAGGAGGACGAAGCCCAGCGCCAGACTGGTGAGAACACGCGAAGCGTGAAGAATTCTGAAGGTAAGGTAGGACGCACCTCTCGCGCAAACCGCGACGTCATGGTCCAAGAACGCATCGGAGTCTCAGCATTGCATCCGAAAGCCCTCGACAACACAATGAATTTTTACATTTTCGCACACAGCTGTCACTGGCGGCGCGCACAATGGGGCGGAGGGAGGGGGGAAAGGCTTCATGGAAGGGGCCTGCTCCTTCGGGTGGCGCAGCCTTACATCTATAGATAAAGCCCGCACCTTCTGAGATTGTGGATGCCACGACAATGGACACCCTAACAGTCCTATCATCGAGTTAAACATGTGTTTGAAATGTAGGACAAATGTCCCGGAAATGTTTAAAACCTGTTGTTTTAAATGTTTAGAACAGTTTTACCACATGTTCTAGACATCTGGAAATGATTTGGCACCATGCTTCCTCCCCATGGATCGTCCTCCACAATGCTAAGAAGCAAAGCAAAGGTGTTCCTAAGAAGGCCTCCCCCCCCCCTCCCTCCCCCCTCTGCGCGCGGCTGAGTCAGGAGACCATGGCTCCGCGCACGGCCTCCAACCCCTGCGAGGGAGCCTCCCGCACCAACTGGCTGGCTCTTGCGAATCGACGACGCTCGACGCTACTCGACACTACATCGACGCTAAATCGGCGCTACCTCATCGATTGCCGGCGCGAACGCTTGTCCGCGCGAGGGCACTCTAGAAACGACACTGCGATGGCACACGAGGCTCCTATGGTTTGCCACCGACGCGCACCAGTCTCTCTCCGAAGCGCGCCAGTCTCTCCAGTGGCATAAATCATGGAGGCTCGGAGGTCCGTGCGGACTTCTCGGATCGGCGCTGGACCCCCTCCCTGGCGCGCGGAGCGCGCCAGGGGCGGCGCCGGAGGCGCCGCCGAGGGGCCCCAGCGCCGATCCGCGGAACCCGCGCGGACCTCCGAGCTTTTGTACGTTCGTGCCCCTGCTTGTGCCCCTGGGGGTGGCCTGTCGCGCTTGTCGCGGCAGTCGTGCATGGTGCGGCAGGTCTCGGAGAAGGAGTCCGAGGTGCACTTGTGGAGGCCTGGGGCTCGGGGGGCGGGGGGGGGCGGGCCGTGACTAGGCCTGCGAGAGCGGGCGGCCGTGACTAGGCCTGCGAGAGCGGGGCGGCGCCCTGTGGGGGGGATGGGCAGTGGGCTAGGTCCTCCTCCTCCTCCTCCTCCTCCTCCTCCTGTTTTTCCTCCTCCTCTTCTCCCCCTCCTGTTTTTCCTCCTCCTCCCCTCCTCCTCCTCCTCCCTCTCCTCCTCCTCCTCCTCCTCCTCCTCCTCCTCCTCCTCCTCCTCCTCTTTCTTCTCCGCCTCCTCTGCCTCCGCCTCCGCCTCGCCTTCGCCTCGCCTCGCCTCCGCTCCCCTCCTCGCCTCCTCCTCCTCCTCCTCCTCCATCCTCCTCCTCCTCCTCCTCCTCCTCCTCCTCCTCCTCCTCCTCCTCCTCCTCCTCCTCCTCCCCACCTCCTCCTCCTCCTCCTCCTCCTCCTCCTCCTCCTCCTCCTCCTCCTCCTCCTCCTCCTCCTCCTCCTCCTCGTCCTCCCCCTCATGGGCCGGCGAGAGCGGGCGCCCTCGGGGGGGGGATGGTGGTGTGCAGCTGCGGCGCCCCGCTGGGCCCCACGAGGAAGGGGTGGGGCGGCACGCAGCCGCGGAGCGCGGGGCCAACGACCGACGACGGCACGGCACGCCAGGACGACCGGGGACGGGCGACGGGGCGGCCCCCGAAAACGGCTCGGCCGCGCGCCCCAGGGCCGCGTTGCAGCGGAGCTCTCGGGCGCCTCCGCCCGATCAGCCATTGGGCGGTGCGCCATGCCACCGCGGCCGGTGAGTGGGCGCGGAGGGGAAGGGGGGGAGGGGAGGGGGATGCGTAGCGCGACGAAATCTGAACTACACATTCGCTGCCAAAGGCCTGGCCCGCACTGGGCCCAGGGGCGGCGCATGCGCCCCCTTAGCTTGGCAAACGAAGCATGTACACCACCCGTGGGCCCACGATGGACGATGGGCCAGGCTGGGGCAATGGTATAGATGTCGTCGCCCCAAAGGCGGCGAATGAACACGAGGAGGAAGGGGAGGCCCCGGCCACTAGCATGCGATCCCTGGGGGTCATCCAGCCACCGCGCCACCATCATACGGCACGGAACACTTTCCTGTCACGAGTCGGAGAGAAGAGCGAACTTGTTTCCTCGCAGCGCGGCAGAGGCGATCCGAACGCGCGCTCTAGTGGGCCGGACACGGGCGCGCACGAATTGTCTGGCAGCAAGAGAGGGGACAGGGGCGGAGAGCGGCCGCGGAGGGAGGGAGGAGCAGGAGGGGCACTCACAGCACGAAAACCTTCGACAGGAGTGGCCGAGGCGGCCAGCCTGTGCTGAAGCAGCCTGGCAATGGACGCGGAGCGACACCATGGCCACAACCAGCTGGCGCAGAGGCTGCAGGCACTGAAAGCGTAGACCAAGTTGCACCAATGCGGGAGGAGCGGCGAGCAAGCCCACCATGTGTTCGACAGACGGCCGTGGGTGACTGGCTGACAGGCTTTGGCTGGCCAGCGTCCAGCTCGCGGCAGCAAAATGCTGCAATAAGGCCAGGCCGAGCTGCCGTGGACCGCGCTGCAGGTCTGTGGCTGCGGTGTCGAGGGCGGCAAGGCAATAACCTGACAGGGTCTTCTGAACTGCCACCGCCAAGTGCTGAAGTGGCGCAGCATGACGAGTACTGGCAAGGGCCACTGTCGCCCAGCAGGGCCACCAGGGGCCAGGGCAGCTGGACAGGCGAGAAGCTGTGGCTGGCGCCACGCGGCAGGGCTGCCGGCAACGGCGCCCAGAAGGCGACCAGCAGGGCTGCCAGAAGCCAGGGAGGGCTGCTGCGCCGGGGCACCGCCGCCGGGCAGCAAAAGGTGCCAAACCGCCGCGAGGTCCCCCGGCGGCGGCGGGCGCGGCCGGCGCGGCGGCGAAAAGGCTAGGCGCCAGACCCAGCCGGCGCACGCATCGCAGCCGGGCGCGGCACGTCCGCCTCGCCACAGGGCCAGGCGAGGCGGGGCGCCTTGCGGCGGAGGGCGGCGGGGCACGGCGGACGAAGGCGTCGTCCCGGCCGGTGCGAGCAGCGCGGCCGGGAGGCCAGCTGCGCCTCGAAGCCATCGAGGAGCGAGGCCCAGCCGGGGCACCGAGGCAGGAGGGGGCCGCCAGGGAGGGGGCCCCCCCACGCGCGGCGGCCAAGGGAGCGCGAGGCCCTGGCAGGGCGCACGGCTGATGGGAGGCGGCGCCGGGAAGAGCCAGCGAGGGCGGCACAGAGGCCCCACCCAAGACCCCCCAGGACAGCGGAGGGATCTGCACCCACAGGAACACAGCGGGCGTGTCGATGATTACCCGCTCCGTCATGGAACGTCGCACCTGATCGGGGTTCATACATGCGCGGAAGCACCCACCTGGGGGGGCAGGCACCTCAGCCGCGAAGGAGGGGGGAATTCACGTGGGGGGTGGACGCACTCGAAGGGAAGGAAGAGAGTACAGGAAAGCGCGCCCCCTGGGGGGGCAGCGCGCCCTCGGGAGGAGCACCTGCTCGACGCACGCACACCTGCTCGGCGCACGCACAAGTAAAAGGGGGGCACGGGACCCACTCCCAAGGGGAGGTTGGCATCGTGCAAGCTGTCATTCCTACCAGGTGCGCGCAGGACTTGGGAGCCAGGTGCCCGGGGGGGCAGGTCCGAGGGCGCGCCGGCGCGTCGCGGACCGGAGCCGCCACTGGCGGGGGGGCAGACTTGGAGGCCAGATCCCCAGCGTGCAAAACTGGTCTCCGGCGGGCCAGGAGGCCCCGCTGGCCCGCTAGCCTCCCCGGCCAGTACCACCGTCTTCCTGCGCCTGTCGATCCTGCCGCTGACGCCACACATCGTCTCAATCAATGTCGATGCGACGGTGCTGGCAGAAGGCCCGAATTTCATAGTAGGAGGCGGCCAGGTCATCCAGGAGCTGCCTGCGGAATCCATCGAAGCCGCCCAGGTTCTAGCGTCCCTTGCCCCGTCCCATGCCATCCCTCACGTCCCAAAGCGGTTCCAGCTCTCCATAAAGGGAGCCCCGCAGGTGCCTTTGAGGCAGTTGATGGGCCAATGTGCACGCAAGGGTGAGCCTTACCCGAACTTATCGGATCGTGGGCTATCGCGTGACCCCTTCCGTGTGCCTCCTGGTCGTCTCTTACATGTCCTTCAGGTTCCGCTTCCACCATGCATCCATCCCCTGTCACCTTTCGACTTCAAGGAAGCGGTTGGACGGCCATGTCAACAACATCCTCTTCCATTACACTGGCTGGTCGCAGGTGCCATGGACGGTTTCGCCCGGTGAAAGCGCGCAGCGAAACCCAATGGTCACACGGGCGACACGATTGGTTAATGATGAGTGAACGTATAGATGGGTCGGCCAGTCAACAAAGTGATAAAGTAATCAATCGAACAATCAGCGACCAATTAGCCGAGGAACCAGCTGCAAACCATACAATGAGGAAGATCTATCAGTCATCTGTTATCGGGCCCCATAATCGATTCACTATATCAGGCAATCCATCCATCAATTCAACCAATCACCTATGAATCCTTCTGAGACTCGAACAGTCCATCAACCTATAAACCCAAAACGCAGTCAATCAAAACGCTTCAACCCGACTATCAATTAAAATGCATCAATTAGTACACAAACAATCGAAATCCATGAATACTGCCAAAAACATATCAGACCAAAGCGCAATCAACATATCAATCAAACAATCAGTAGGGCAATCAATATTATAAGCAATTCATCAGTCGAGTAATCAATACTATACCCAAGAAGTGACAGAGTACGGTTGTTCAAAACAACCAACACCAACAACCCAATCACTCCCTCCGTCAATCAATCAACGGCTGAAAACAAACAAACAAACATACCAGTCACTCAGCCCACTGGCCAACCCAACCATACCTATACGACCAGCCTTCGGGTGATAAGGAGGTTGTGGGGGGGGGAGAGGGGGGGGGAACCAACATCTGACTCAATCGACCCACTATCGATCTCATTCAACGGGACACCACGGGACACCACGGGCCACCACGGGACACCACGGGACACTTGTCGATCGCACTATCGATCTCACTCAACGGGACACCACGGGACATCACGGGCCACCACGGGACACCACGGGACACCGCGGGACACCTCTCGGTCTCACTATCGACCTCACTATCGATCTCACTCAACGGGACACAATAGGACACCACGGGACACCACGGGACACCACGGGACACCACATCGATCTCACTATTGATCTCACTATCGATCTCACTCGACGGGACACCACGGCACACCACGGCACACCACGGGACACTTGTCGATCTCACTATCGATCTCACTTTTTGGGACACCGCGGTACACCTCGGGGCACCACATCGATCTCAGTATCGATATCACTATCGATCTGACTATCGATCTCACTCAACGGGACACCACGGGACACCACGGGACACCTGTCGATCTCACTATCGATCTCCCTATCGATCGCACTTTTGGGGATACCACGGGACACCACGAGGCATCACATCGATCTCAGTAGCGATCTCACTATCGATCTCAGTATCGATCTGACTATCGATCTCACTATCGATCTCACTCAACGGGACACCACGGGACACCATGGGACCCCACGGCACACCACGGGACACCGCGGGACACCGCGAGCCACCGCCGGACGGACGGACGGACGGGCGGGCGGGGGAGAATCATTTGTCTTGACTTCGCCCTAACAACGGCGAACACCGCGGGACACCACGGGACACCACGGGACACCGCGGGACACCGCGGGACACCGCGGGCCACCGCCGGACGGGCGGGAGGGGGAGACTAATTTGTCTTGACTTCGCCCTAGCAGCGGCAGACACCACGGGACTCAACGGGACACCACGGGACACCGCGGGACACCGCAGGCCACCGCCGGACGGGCGGGAAGGGGAGAATCATTTGTCTTGACTTCGCCCTGGCAACGGCGGGTTCATTCCTCTCGCGCGCCCACGCAGCTTCGCCTCGCCCGC